ATACCTGACTAGGTAGGCATAACATCCCCCGCACCGTGGGCAACCTGTTGCCAGTACAAAAGTGGCTTGCCATATTTGAGTCAGTTGATGTCCTCGGGTTTGCAGGCACCGATGTTTCTCGCGCGAAATTACCTGCTGTTACCCAATTGACTGAATCAACACGAAGTATGGTTCAATAACAGATCCGGGCTAGTATGGACCTTGTTCGTGAAGGGGTTCGTAAGGAATTCGAAGCGTATGATTCACGTTACAATGGCGAGGATACCATGGATTATACGGCTAGTACTGGTGAGGTGAACACAAACGAGTCTAATCAACAAGGGACATAAGAACACGAAGAAGAGAATCCCTGAGCACCCTGTTTTTTCTATTTATCTGCCTTTACTATGATTTTATAATACCCACTACGCGAATTACTATCATCGGAATCCAACGTCTAAAGCTCATGGCATTCGTACGTAGGGGCTAAGAATTAAGGAAACGTGTCGGGGAGGATTCGGGTAACTTCAGATTTCACATGACCGAGGGGAATGATTCGGGAAATAATAAAAAGGGGGAAACAGCTCTGCCGGATATAAAACAAAAGGTCTGAGCTTTATTGGAAGAACTTGCGCACTCTTTCCTGGCTGGCCGGGTCGACGGAAGCCAGAATCTGGTCTGCATTTGCGCCGGTCACTGCCACCAGCTGCTTGGCGGATGTGGCCACCCGGGCAGCGGTCTGGCCCTGCAGGGTAGCTGCCTCAAGTGCCTGGACAATGAAACCGAAGACACGGTCAGCCTTGGCAAAGACAGCAGGGTTTTGCCTGGTAGTAAAATATTAGCATGAGTATGAGAAAGGGTTGATCAAGAAAACGTACTGGTCAATCAACTGTGTAATAAATGAATAGGCATAGGGAGCCGCCTCCTCGTCGTAGGTAATGGGCAAAGTCTCGATCCAGTTGGCCACGACATCCTGGGGAGCCTGAACCTTGGATGGGTTATAGTGCAGGATCTTGGCAATACTGGCAGATGCATTCTCGGTCGCGAACACATTCTCCTCTGTGCGAGATTGCGCATGCTGTGTAACCTGGAACAAGCTGGGGAGGCTGGCTGCCACGAAGTCGCTCCAGGCGGCACCACCCTTCTGCGCAGCCACGCCAACTCCGTATGCCGCTGCCTGACGGTTGGCGGCATTCTCATCTCGCAGACCAGAAGCCAAAGGCTGCATAATGTGGTCCTTGAATGCCCACGACTCTTCACCACAGAATTCAAGCACATCATCCATGATGCAAAGAGCCCACTGCCGTTGTGTCGGGTCTTGGCTTGTGATGAACGCATCGTAGAATGGAATCAATTGTTGCCAGGTTGGCAGGAATGAGTTGCCCTGGTTCTTAAAGATGGTGTGGAATGCCTTGTTCATATCACTCAATAGGTTTTGATCGTCCTCGACGGCGTACTCGAAGTCTAGGTTCTCCTCGTCACCATCTTCGAGCTCGGCCTGTTCCTCCAGACGTTGCTTCACGCGCATCTGGTAGTCCTCGAGGGTCGACTTTGCTGATTCAATGAAGGCCTGCAAGTGCTGGGGAGTGAGGGAGTTTCTGCCAACCACCTCCACTGACTCGTAGAAGCACTGGTACATTTCAGCCAGCGTGTCAACTGTCGGCTCGGCGCTCAGAACCTCGATGATTTTCTCTGCAACCTTGTTCCACATTTCGGCGAAGCCGGGCGACTGGCCACCGTGTCTCTTCTTGTAGGAGTTGAGCAGCTGGGGGATCAGCTTGGCAGCTGACACTCGGACGGGATCGTGGAAGAAAAAGCCAAGACCAGGGACCGCGATCTTCTCCATGGTTTCCAGGACGTAACCCTCGAAGTTCTCCTCGAGAATTTGGGCGTAAATTGTGATCAATTCGATAGCAGTATTCTTGTCTTCAAGAGCACTGGTCTTGATACCGATAATCTTGCCCTTGAGCGGCACTAACTCCCAGCCATCATCCTGCTCAACCTGTTCGATCTGATCCTCGTCATCTAGCAGCTGAATATCAGCCTTGGCAGCAGCCACGGTTAGAAGAGGCGGCATAACACCGGGGAGATAAGGCACAAAGTCTTGGCCTAGAACGCGGCACATGCGGCCCCAGCAGTGAAGGAGGTACTGTGACTGTGGGTCGTCGGCGTCGACGATGTTTTGCTGAATGTGGCCGAGAATCTGCACAAGGTTCAGGGCATCTTGACCCATCTTCTCCTTACCGACAGCGAGTGCGATGAGAGTAGCACACTCCATGGCCTTGGCACGGAGAAGGCGGTACTCCTTGCCCTGTTCCTCCTTGAGGACATTGAGCAAAAGAGGCATCAGAGTAGTATAATACTGATCGAAAGCGGCCTCGGCGGAATCGGCAATGGTGGCAATGGTGGATAGCGCTTGCTCCTGCAGATAACGCTTAGGGCTGCGCAAGAGATCCAAGAGATGGCTGAGAAGGTTTCCGAGGTATGGCTCCAAGGTGCTGCGCTCAGCCTCCTCGCAGAAGTTGACGAGAGCGGCGGCGGCGTGGGACTGCACACGCGGCTCGGTAGAGGCGAGAACGGGAATGATGTTCGTGAGGACAATCTCGTGGTACTTCTCCTGCATGGTACCGGCAAAGTCGGTACTCATTTGACCAAGAGCGTTACAGCCTGCATAGCGGACTCGGGGGTGGGCGTCTTGGAGGGCAGGAACAACAAGGGCTAGAACTTGGTCCAGCTCGCCAACCATCAGATCACGACAACCTTCAGAGATGGCGGAGATGGCCATCAAAGCAGCATGGCGGTCACGCCAGTTGGTAGACGACATCATGCGAGGAATCCAAGAGAATGCGGGTTGGAGGATGGCCTGTCCACCCAATTTGTTGGCGAGACGATCCATGCACTGTTCACCGGCGATGTGGTTGAGGTCGTTCTCTTCAGGCTCAAGCTGTTACTAGTTAGTGGCATGTTAATTATAACGACAGAAATGCTAGCACTTACATCTTCAGAAGCGTTCCATTCCTCCGCGTCGTCATCATCCGCACCGACATCAGTCATCAGGCTCAGACATTGTGTAACCATTTCCTGTGCGAACTCCGGCTCCTTCTTGCACATATTTGGGGCGTAATCGGCAAAGGTAGCCATCAATTCGAGTGCGTTCTGGCGCACCTGGTCACTGAGTTCCTTGTCGCCAATGACACTAATGCTGAATTTAACCAAGTTGTTGAACATGGCCTTGAACATTTTCGGGCTGATTTCAGCCAATTCGATCAAGGCGAGCAGTGCCGAGGACAGCTCCTCGCTTTCAGAGGACTCCTTAAGAGGAGGAAGGATGTTCAGAAGGTCTGGCATGAGGCCGAAGAACTTAGGCTGGGACTTTTTGGAGATCGACCGGAACAAAGAAGCGAAGGCTTCCATAGCGGAAATCCGCACCTGATGAAATGGTCAAAATTGGGTTCGAAGGGCATAACCAGATGTCGACATACGGAAATATTATCGTCCTTGAAACCCTTGGTGAAAACCTCCACGACAGCGTCTTCGTGCTGTTTCTCAATGATACCAGGGGTGGTCGTGAACACACGGTATGCGGTTTCCCGTAGGCCCGAGTCAGGGCTCTGGCTCGCCTGGAAAAGAACACCGAGTAGTTCAGGCCACTGTTCGTCTACAAATCACAGGTGAAATCGTCAGAGCCAACAGTCCTTATTTCGTCAAAGGATAGTTCGAATCGCATACCATTATCGGTGTATTGCCGAGCAACCTCAGCCAGTGTGTCTCCAATCTTCTTGCGTACATCGTTGACGGTCTCACTGGTCAGGGAGACCACCAACTTCTCACGAATGGCAATTCGCTGCTCGTTGGGGAGGCTCGAGAAAATCTCCTTGTTGTCACCTGTGGCGGGATCCTTTCGGGTTTTTGTTGCGATTCTTCGGAAAAGCACAGCGGAGAAAGCACGCGTCTGTCAATAGGAGTTTCTCATTAGCTTTTATCCCAAATCAAAGTGAGATTCGGCTGTTGCTTCGGTCGTCGGTCGTTTGCAACACCCCTCCTTTGAAGCAACCGCACCCCTAGAGTCCAGTGCAACTTACTATTGTGTCCTCTGCACCTGCAAGCTGTTCCGCCAATCCCATCAATAGGACGTCTGGTCGGTTCTGAACCCAGTCATTGTTAAGCTGGTCTTCCGCCTGAGATCTGACGACATTGTCGGGTGTGCTCAAGGCGCGGAGCAGCTGAGAAAGCGCGGTGTGGATTTCGGGAGGTAGGAGGGACATGTTGGGCGTGTCTGTTCCCAAATTCCAGACGATCCAAGCAACCCAGTTCTTTCAACCCTCGTAGAAGTGATTTGGTGGGGATAGAGGGGTGGAACGAAGGCGAGGAGTTTTGTTTTTGGTGGGGCGGGGAGAGAGGGAAAAAAGAAGAATTTCTGATTAGGAGAGCGATAGATGGATAGGCCCTTGGGGGTGAAGAAGAATGAAAGTGCCACTCCAATCACACAACAAGAGAAAAGAAGATTCAATATAGGATGTCGAGGTCTTCAGATCTAATTATTTCTCGACAAAACATGTAAAAATTAACCGTACGAATAATTCAAGGACAACCTACAGAGTCCATAGTGATGATAATGGCATCTGGACGCTAAACCAGATGCGGTAATTACCGGCCACAAGGCCACCGGAAGTCGAACAGACAGAACTATGAAGAGCTCAAACATTGTTGTTCCGGTCAAAGATTTAGTTATTTTGTAAGTTATCACTGTAATGGATATATGTAACCGCCAGATCAGAGTCTGTCTCGAATAATTATTTGCATTGAAGGCTAAACTAAGGCCGCAACTGCTCATACGAACAGCGGTATCTGAACGCGACACGGAATATCGATATTAGAACAAAACGGGTATGCAACACTCAGAACGGGAAAAGAATCTACTACGCTTTCTCGGGGTGCTTGATATCCAAGTTGAATGAAACAAAGGGAAGTATTTGGAGAGAAAGAGAGGGTTTCAGGAATAGACCGAAGGCCAAATATTTTTACCGGCCACTGGGGCGGCTGAGAATGAATACGCCCGCAATAACAGCAGCCAATGTGACAATAGCACCAGGAAGCAACAAGTCGTTAGGGACACCGGCAATAAATTGCTCCTCTGGCGCGTGAGAGGGCACGGCTTGCTGCTGGGGCAGGCCTTTGCTCACAGGGGATTCTTGTGATGCAGGGTCCTCAACAACGCTTTGCTCTTCGATAGGAGTCACAATCTTAACATGATGGGGTTCAACCGCAGCAGGGATGGGCGGCTGGGCGGGGTCGTGGACAAACAGATTGACCTTGTCGCGGTGAGTACGGCGGGTTAGATCGATGGCATCCGTCATGTCCTGATCCGTGGTGATGGAGACGGTATCGCCTTCGTTATCCATGTAGCTGAGCGCATATCCAGTGTTGCTCAGACAACCATCCTCAACGGTAGCCTCGCCACCAACAGCCTCGACTTCCTTGCCAAGTTTCGCTGTGACTTGCGCCACCAGGTCAGTAAGGCCGTTGGTGGTAAGGACGTTGACACGGTGCACTCGGCCACCAGGGGCCTTGAACTTGAAGGGGAATGGAGTAGGAGCAGCTGGTTCTGCTGGGTGGTGCTGAGAAACAACTTCGGAATGCTCATCACCGTGGTGCGAAGCTGAGTCGTTAGGAAGAAGACTGTTGTCGTAGCCTGAGCGAGTGTGGTCGGGGCTCATAACTGAGCGGTGTGGGGTATTCGGTTGCTGGCTGTGGCCGCCAGAGACCATAGAGTCTGACTCGTGATCCATCGATAACCAGAACTTGTTCCATGCGGGGCCCTCGTCGTCTTGTGTTGACATAGTGTTGATCTGAACATATCAGCCAAAATGTTTGCATCTCAGATCTGTTACTATCAAACTTACCTGTTCAAGTGTGGCATAGGTGAGCTTCAACACATCCACCATGCCGACAATTTCACCGCCCTCGTTCATCACGGGGAGGTTGAGATAGTGGCCATCTGTCGTAGGGTTAGCATGCTGTGATTTTACTTGTTGATTGATACGACTGACCATGCATCTTGCGAAGTGCGGCTTGGATGCTCATATCTGACGGGGCGAAATCGGGGTGAGGAGTCATCACACGGACAACACTGCAAGTGGACGGGTCGAGGCCCGGAGCAATAACGCGAAGAACAATATCCTTGCTAGTGAAGATACCAGTGATCGAGCCTTGGTCCTGGACTAACAGAGCAGTAGTATGGTTTTCCTTCATCAGAGCCGCAGCGTCCTTGACGGTGGTGCGGACCGAAACAGTGACGGGCGGCAAGCCATCCAAAACGGTCTCAAGGGTCGGGCCGGACATCTTCGATCGCAATGCCTCAACGTACTGGATGACTTGCTGGGGCTGACTAGAGCCAAGCTCTGTCTGCACACCTTCCAGCGCATCGTATAGCTTGCGAGACGAACTGTATGCGCGTTCCAACTTTTCCATAGCATCATAGAAGCACTTGGTAATATCCAAAACACCAGAGATATCCTGGTTCTCATCCATGACCGGCAAGTGTCTGAATCCCTTCCGTACCATAAGATCGAGCGCGTCGGTGGCGCTGGTGTCCGTTCTCGCGCACAGCGGGTTCTTGGTCATGATCTCAGCGACAGAGACCTCTCGCGCCTTCAGGCCCATTCCGACAACTCGGAACGCCAGATCCTTGGCAGTGAAAATACCCGCGATGCGCTCATTGTCGTCAGTGACCAACACACAGTCCTCTCTCTTGGCGGCCATAAGCTGGGCGGCCTCTGCGATGCTCATGGCAGGCTTGATCTGGAGGGCTTGGCTAGGCTTCAGGGCGAGCACGGTGCCGGGAGGGGCTTTGCGGGAGCTCCTCGATTTTGCCGGAGCGTTCCTCTTTTTGCTGAGGTCGGCCTCCATTTTGCGGCGGATAGCCTTGTGTCGAGGTTAGCTCAAAACCAAAGCTCAAAATTGAGCATTAGGAGACCACTCCCGCAGGCTGCCATGACGTACCTCATCACGTTTCGACTGGTTTTGTCGCTGTCTGCTACTTGCGGCGCTCATCGTGCCACTTCCGACGTCGCTGGAAGGTGTATTGTTTGTGGCTGAAGATTCTGGCCTGGGTCGTGGGATGTGGGAAGCGCTGGGATCGTTTCCGAAATCGGGCAGTCTTCCTCTCCCGATGGTCTGATTGGGCTTTCCCCGAAAAGTGCCTGTGGCCGACATAATGCCGAAAGGGGAAAGTCTCAATGAAAAATGGAGAGAAAGGAAGGGAGATGACACAAACAAACAAGGATGTCAAGTTGTGAGACTGGTAAGGGAGAAAAAAGCAAGGAGAATTCCCGGGAAGGAGAAGAAAAATGGGCAGTTCAATAGTCGATCCCAACAGGGGTGTTTCTTTCGTTAGTCGGGGATGAGGAGCCGTAAACACTGAGTGACACGGTACGATCCGGGCGCTAGGCCCAATTAGGCGGACATCCTGCTCGTGACCCTTTGCACGTGATCCACCTAGTTCCCGAGATCTTACAGCCTGATATTTGAGGCACCAACCCCGTGACCCATCTCGCTTAAGGGCTTAGGGCTACCCGCACAACGGAATCCAATCCATCCCGAAAGAGACTTTGTGTGAGCGAGCTTCGACAACCCACTCCCGACAAGTCAACCGTACGCTATCTCCCCCCCTTCACCCACAGATCAATACCTGACCATCCACAGAACAAACCGTCAAAATGGTCAAGAAGAGGGCGAACAAGTAAGACCAACAAATTCCCCCATCTCGGCGAAACAGTATCCCATTCGACATCTCCGCAATGACGCCGACGGAAGCGCACACGACATATATCTTCAAATACATCGAAAATCGCGACCTACGCACATTGCCGGACAAAAAGAATGGGAGACTGGATTTCGATCGATTCGCAACTTAAAAGGGGCACGGTAACTAATTGATTTGATAGCGGCCGCAACAAGAATGGCCGCGGCCACGTCAAGCCTGTGCGTTGCTCCAACTGCGCTCGCTGCACCCCCAAGGACAAGGCCATCAAGCGCTTCACCATCCGCAACATGGTCGAGTCTGCTGCCATCCGTACGTGACAACTCCCCCGATACCTCAAATCTACGACGAGATCCCAGATCTATCTGGCTGCAACCTATTCGAGGAATCTCAAGATAAACTAGTGCAACTAACGACTCTCGCTCTACAGGTGATATCTCCGAGGCTTCCGTCTTCGCTGAGTACTCTGTCCCCAAGATGTACCTGAAGCTCCAGTACTGTGTGTCCTGCGCCATTCACGGCAAGATTGTCCGGTACGTTTCCACCGATTCTCCTCGATACTCAATCGCCTTCTATATACTAACCTCTCGCCAACAGTGTTCGCTCCCGCGAAGGCCGCCGCAACCGTGCTCCCCCTCCCCGTATTCGCTTCAACAAGGACGGCAAGAAGCTCCAGCCCCCTACTGCCGCCAAGGCTCTGTAAGGAGATGAATGTCGCATGACGAACAAAATAAAATGGAACTAGTTTGAAATGAATTCTTTTATTTTGTCTTCACTCTTCGCATTGGTGTTCTTCTCGACCGGATCGCAGGGGTGACGCTCGGTCCCGAAACTGCCGGCCTGCTCCTACACTGAGGATGAAAAAGATGGCACCAATTGTGCGATGAAGGCAGGTTGGATGCCTCTTTAGCATTTTGATGGTTATGAGCCCGTTGACGACGGCTTGTTATGACTGGGAGGATGGATGGTTCAAGTCCAAATGGGGACTTAGAAAATATCAAAAATTCCTACAAAAACATGATCGCATGATGTAGAAGTCTTCAGTCGTATTGCTGGGTATCTTGCTAAGTACAAAACTCATGGGTACAAGTACCCCTTCTCAAAATAGTTTCCATACATATCCACCGTTCCGGTCCGCACCTTTGGCATCGGGTTCCGCACGACCTTCACCTCTCCCTTCCAATGACCTTCGACATAATGTGATAAAGAAATATGGGTCGATGATGGCATCAGTAGGCCGGAAACACCCGTGCCAAGCGTGCTTCGCCGTCCTCTCTCACGACGAACCACTTGCTCATACTCAGCCTTCTTGCCGCGACGAAAGGCCGCAAGCTCTGCCACAAGGTCAATCATCGGGATTTGGGACTGCTGCTTTCTGTCTATAGTGGTCCCTGGTAGACCGGTGTTCGCGGCACTCCGTGAAAGGTGACGTCCGTGTCGAGGGAAATCGGGTGAAGGCAACGAGTCATCCTCCGAGGGCATAAGCGAGACTTTTTCGTTAAGGACAGCCATTGGAAAGTATTTGCTCTGATCATTTTCAGGGACTCCACACTCTTCTTCACCGAAGAAGCTGAAATCATTGGTGGCTGCAGACCAAAGATTCTCTGAGTCGCGGTCACCAGTGCTTGAATGGCCTGTGGCATTATATTGGTTTCCGGGTTTCCATGATGTTAGTTTGGACGTATTGACAGGTGTGATTTCGAGGACTAGACGTCTCAAGCCAAATAGAGATCGTGACCGTTGCTGCTCGGCTTGCATCCGCGCTTGCCCTGGTGGGAGGGAGTAGTCTGATCCTGCCTGTAGAGTTGCTAGCAAAGCTTCGTTTGAGCAGGCAGTAATGAACCGAGTAAGGGCAGAGATTATCGGTGAGTTGGGCGTTACATGTGAGGGTACATCTGTCAGTACCAAAGATTCCATGTGAGGAATATGTGATGGGTGTAGGTAAGGGAACCGGCTTTCTTTCCCTCCTTGGAGTGGGATTGATTGATTACGTGGTCGCTTTGCCAATAACTTTTGTATTATCTGTGCGAGAGAATTGTTCAGCGATATTGGGGAGCTGGATTGTATGGTAGCCTGGAGAGAGAAATCTGTCGCAAGTGTGTCGCAGTCTGAAGACATTGAAATGGATGGTAAGGTGCTTCCCTCAGCCTGCTCTGTATCCCATGTGTCTGCCCCAGAAGCACCGAATCCTGTACCTGCATTGCCGCTACCGTGTATAGGGATGGGCTGTATAACCTCCGGAGTAAAAGCTGACCCACGCCTGACTGACCGTGCAGGCTCATCCTCGTAGGCTGTCAATGGGGGGGAAGACTTCACCCCTTTTTTCTTTGAAGATGAGCTAATTGAGCTGGTTGTTGATGTATCCGCAAGTTCAAAGACAGCTCTTGTCTCTTCGGGCAACTCATAAACCTGCTGGGAGGAATCCAGCTCAAATTGCTCGACTTCGCGACGGCCCTCTTGCGCCGAAAGCTCTGGAAGAAACTCATCATTGGGTGCAGCGTCTTTAGCTGGTGGCTGGCCAGTGAGAATAGCATGGTGTCCTCGTAAATAGACCAAATTGTCCCCTGCAATCTTACCAAGAATTGGGACTAACTTCTCAGCTCCCGGATACTTCGTGTTCCCATAACGATGTGTCTGATAGGCCTTGTCTGGAGTTCTTATGCTACCAAAATCCAGAGCGTGTAGCCGGGACGAGACCAAAAGACTCGCCACAGCTTCCACAGATATTTGATTGCCAGTGATATAAAGATGGGTGATTCCCGTATGCGGCAAGTCTTCAACCCATGGATGGATTAGAACAGGCTGAGCGAGAAGCTTCGCAAACTGCTCATCCAAATCTGGCCGCTTGAAGAAGTCCGAGCCAGACTCATTGATTGTAAAGTGGGAGAAGGGGCCTGGCGAAGCTGGGGCCTGCCTTGGACTTTGTTGCCTTTCCCTCCCGTCTAGCGGGAGAAAGGATTCTTGTAGCAGGGAGCGAATTGCCATGTCAGTGAGCATGTTGTCTCTCAAATCCAAACAACGGACTCGTCGTCGAATCGCATTGGCTAAAAACTCGGCGTCATTGTCCTTCAGCCCGATGCCACGCAATTTAAGTACCCGGAGAAACGGCATCTGACCTAGTGTAGACAGTACATTGCGGTCTCGTGCTGGAGTGGTGTACGAAAGATCCAAGTAGGTCAATGCCGAAAACAAGAGGAGAGTCTGTGCAAGGCTTGCAGAAGTAGTATTCGGCTCACGTTCAGCCAACAATAGCCGTATATTATACTGGCTGGACCTCTCGTGGGTTTTCAGTGCTGTCATTGCATGGTGGTCAAAGAAAGGCAACTTCGAGACCATCAGACACTGGAGACATGGTAGGTATTCGAGTATGTCCCTCAGCCAGCCCGGTCGTGGACCACCATATATCTCCGAGAGAGCGGGCGGGAGATGAAGGGTATGGGTCAACGCCCTCACCTCTTGCCGGGCGTACTTGAGTGTTCTTCGGAATCGAGTGAGAGCCACTGTGTGATCCGGTTAGGTATTGCTTTTTGAGCAATCTCTGTTGCTCCTAATATTACTTACCGTAGACTGCATCATTATCTGTACCAAAGTGAGATGCAGGATCACCCCAGAGGAAGGGCATAAATAGATCATGCCATTTGTGGCAGACTAAAGATGCGGCACATAGGTCGCTGGAAGGGATGTAGCGAGCAATAATTGTCCAAGCATCTCTGTCCGTTGCAGATTCGTAAGATGGAGGAATGAGATCCATGTTTACTATATTATTGAATTCTCGATCAAAGACATTGTGGATTTCAAAGATGATGAAATCCCAGGGGGAGTTTGGCCCCATGCGTTGCCCGACTCAGCCACACAGTTTTACCGAAGCGTTTTGACATAAATGTATGACTGTTGATCTCATCATTCGGACTCTCCCTACTTTCTATTGTTTCTGTCATTTTCGCACTTCTGTCTGTGAAGGCAATTTAATTTTGAGAGATATGACGTCACCGAATGAACTATGAAGCGGGGGGGGATATACGTATTAAGCCCGAAACGATATTAGGGACGTTATATGTAAGAATACTTTGACTTGTTTCTAGATGAATGTATACAAATGTAGCAAAAGGCCTAGCCCGTGCAAAGGACTTTTCTATACATGTATATATAAGAATAGGTTATGTCTCTTTGGTGGTCTTTTTGGGTGTATCTTTTTAGATGTCTTTAGGTGCATATGAAGGAAATAAACAAAGCACACTTTGTGCAAGAGACTATTCTATGTGAGCAATTTAGAAAGTCCCAAAGGGCAAGCGGTCGTGTTCCTTTGATAACTGATCATAAAAACATGACATGAAGGCTCATAATATTCTTCCTTTCTCGTCCTCACGTCTGTTATTTGAGGGGAAAAGAGGAGGCTCACGGTCGAGTCATGTGAGCGAGGACGGCCAGGCACACCCGCACCAGAGCCCGACCGAGGACCAGAGGAGGCGGCCATAGATATCGATCCAAAAATATTTACGATTCTACCGAAAGCTCAAGTTAGTATGTTGCTCTTTGTTATGGCTGAAAGGCTGGCTGTCTTCCTCTTACATTGTGGGTTCGCGGCGGCGCATGTGTTCAGAGCGATGTGGGCGTTTATCATGGCCACACGCTGTATAGCCCGGAGTAGTAATAGCAGCTCGCCCAATACCATTAGTGTATATTCACACAATAGGGATAGCATGACATACACCTGTGCATGAAGCGGCTGTTAGTCTGTCATCATGGAAATAAAAGCTTTCGAGGTTGAGGGTCTTTATACAAGAGGAAGTATTTTTACACCAGGGCAGACTTGTCAGTCACGAGCTCAGACATTCCGTCCTCGTGTCTCACAGTTATTATCCAAGGTTATACATAGACAAGTTGTTTATCTAACTAAGCCAATTCTATTGGCAAACAATCATCTAATCGATACATTGACTAGTTGTGGAATAGTTACTTCCATATGTATGGACTAGACTTCCAAGCTAATCTGCTGGCAACTTCCTCGTAACGGCGTTAGCAGGTTTAAGAAGCATCCCTCCAGCGGTATCAGTCTTAGCTACACGCGCTTTTCCCCATTTATGCACAGACTTGTAGTCCCGACAAAACTGATTGGTGCTGAAGTCAGGCCATGGATAATCCCATCCATCCACCCAATCATACGTAATCAGGTGCATGTCTGCAGAACACATGAGAATCTGGCGGAGCATTTCGATGCAATGATCTATTTCCATGTGGTTAGCCAATATACATCAACTGCCTTGCAAGATGAACGCACCGACATGTTTTCGCGCACTTGGCTCTGTAAAGAAGTCTGGTTCATGAATAGTATAGTAGTCCAGATAGGTGGCTTTTCGGATAACGTTGAGACAGTGCATTTGGTGGAAACCCCCTATGCTTGCCATGTAGCCGCCATCAGGTAGAACGACGGAACTGTTACGGAGCTTCTTGATTTTCTCTATTTCATGACGAGATACTGACATGGCCGAATCTAAAGGGTGCTTGGTTAATAGAGCTGACAATATGACGTGAATAAGCTATACATACTAAGCTCCAAGCTTTCCCATGCGGCATCCACGTCGGCATTTCCACCCCCACGCCAAGCGGATTGTGCTCCAAACTCACCCGAGAGCTCAAGGGGAGATTTCAAGCCGCAGGTTTGTACAGCAGTCTCTGCTCAATGAATTAGTACTGAAAATTCCGAGGTTATATCTGTATATTCATCTGCATACCATATTCGCGAGTGAACAGTGGCCCAATTGTCTGCTTTCTTATTTGGACAGCTTTTAGCAGAAGCGTGGATGATATGCATACAAGAATGAAGTGAACCAGCCATGGAATGGCTTGCCTTAGATTACTTGCTCGGGGAGAAGTTTCTGGGCTCGACTTGATGTCATTTTCGCTTTCTGGGTCTGAAGAGCCAAGCTGAAAATACTTGGTCTTCGACCAACGCTTCGGTAGCTCTAATTTCATTGCTATAATAAGAGAAAAAGTTGACTGAAAAGACTGGGCAGCAGTGAAGTACCCGAGGGCTTGCTGAGAGAAGCTACATAGGTACTAGAACTGGCACGATGAAACCCTACGGAATGACGGAATATAGCCCCCAAATAGCGCTGAATCTGGTTTGAGCAATACAGGCAGTGCTGTAGGACCGAGGCCAGTTATGGTGCGGAGGGGCTATCTTCGTCTCCACGCCAGTGCATGATCGACCAACTCCATGTCTCGCATTTATGGCTAATAATGATGCCTAGGTGTATCACGAAATGGAGGCCTTGGGAAAGTAATTTCTATTGGATCTTTGTATATACGTGCCGTTTGGACTAGTGTAAAGGCTCGAAGACCCTGAACACCTACGAGATAATTATACATTGCAGTCACATACTCATTGGGTGGGCGCTATTGAACAAGGCGTCACTAAGTCATGACGAAGACGTCTACTATGTAAACATTAAAAATACACCATAGTAATTATATAATGCGATATAACCGCGAGAGCTTAGATTTGACCATATCTGCATCTTCCACTTAATACATAATGTTAAGACTCATATATCTCTCGCCATAAAACCCGTCTTGTGCTCAAGCTTCGGAGTGCGTTTGATACGGACAGAGCAACTCTTTGAAACGCTGGCAGATCGATAGCCAACGAGAAATATGACGACTTGTCATATCGCATATGCTTAAGCTGTGTCCTTGTACTTGCCGTAGGCGGAGTTGACAATGGAAGATACATCCTCGTTGGGTGCGTCGCGCTCCTCCTTATATTTGCCGTAGGCAGAGTTGACAATGGAAGATACATCCTCGTTGGGTGCGTCGCGCTCCTCCTTGTATTTACCGTAGGCAGAGTTGACAATGGAAGATACATCCTCGTTGGGTGTGTCCCGCTCCTCCTTATATTTGCCGTAGGCAGAGTTGACAATGGAAGATACATCCTCGTTGGGTGCGTCGCGCTCCTCCTTGTATTTGCCGTAGGCAGAGTTGACAATGGAAGATACATCCTCGTTGGGTGCGTCGCGCTCCTCCTTGTATTTACCGTAGGCGGAGTTCACAATGGAGGAGACATCTTCATCAGATGTAGCCCGCTCCTCCTTGTACTTGCCATAGGCAGAGTTGACAATTGAAGAGAGGTCTTCATTGCCAGAGGTAACACTGGTGCCTGTTTAATGATTAGAACTTCGTGGTTGACGAACGTGCTATATACGGAAGACTTGCTCTGCAGAGGAGCGGCAAAACCGAGGCTTGCGAGGCTTACAGCCAGAGCAATATTCCTGAAGTGCATAATGATTGATTTATTCAGGGTAAGGTACGGAGTCCCGAGTAGATATGTAAATTGAGGTATCGATAAAATGACGAGTAAAAGAATAGAGCATTGATCGTAGATAAAAACACGGTCTATAGCTGTTTTATATTACTTTTTGTTCGGACGTATCAAAGTCTCACTCTACTCTCCCGGCCCCCAGTCAGCGCTTGGCCTATCAGGTTAGTGCCAAACTTGAAAGGAAAAGGTCCATCACGACACCATGTCGGAATCCAATAGTATCGCATAAGTGAATTATCACAATATGCAGAAATATTGCGCCATGACCAGGATCCAAATCCTGATGATACTTACATGTGCCTTGCTGGTGGGTCGCAGTCTGTTTCACCGAGCACAACGAAGCCCCCCTCAGATGAAAACATGAGGAGGTTATAAGGCATGACCTATGGGATCATAATGGGTCCCATTGAGCGAATTTGGAAGCTCTTCTATAAGCGACGACATCCGGTAGTCATCAAGTGGTTACAGGTCCCGACACTACGAGGAGCGGCTTTGGGAACTGACTGCAAGAGACCATCTTGCAACATCCTTGGTTTAGTAAATTCTATCCGCAAGCGAGCCTTTTTTGCAGATCCGGTGACTCAGTGCGACTCACCCAACTCCCGCTAGCTTTTGGAAAGAGTGACTTCTAGTGGAGCATTGTACATGCGAGTGATCAAGTTCACTTGTCAGTTCATTCAAAAAAGAAAAAAAACCGCAATCAAGCATGTATGAACAAGAGAACAACTCCCGGGGCTACGTATCTTCCGAACATGAAGATGAGGACAGGAGCATCCTGAAAGTATCCGAAGAAGATGACTTTTTATTAGACGACATCTTAGACGGCTCGCAGCAGCTATCTTCAAATTGCTTTTGTCGAAAATGGCTTGGACACCTGGTTTTCACGGCCATATGGATAATTTCGTTGCTCATTGCAGTCATGCTGTTGAGGTATGATGGCAATCAAGCCGAGGATGGTCTTGCCAGTGTTTTTGATACAGAATTGCGTGAGTTCAAAAGTCCATGCCGATTTGGCTATTTCTGTGGAGTGTTACTGAGCCCCAACCAGGCCCTATGCAATCAGCATTAGAAGTCCAGAAGATTCGCTTTTCTGGTAACTTGGTATTCGATGACAATGGGACTCTAATTGAGAAATTCTGGGATCATGACAGTCCCAAATATACGGGCGAACCAAGCGATGAGCTAGATGCTCGCTGGAAAGATCTTTTTAGAGGTGAGCTAGGAATATCTGCTTCCCCAAATACTTCCGCATGGACCTATTAACACTGAAAAGTTGACGGTGTTGATCTCCATGGCACTGAGGCCGATACAATCCGCGGCCAGACCTTCGAAAAGCCTGGCGGGTGGTCAATCGTGGGCGTTGATGTATTTCACCAACTACATTGCCTGGTGAGTTAGAATTGAAATTACTCGTTCATATTTGGATCAGTTACTCAATGCTACTATAGAACATGCTTCGTCAAGGACTGCGTCGGGATTACTATACTGAGCACGATGAAGAGCCAGCTTACACAATCCATATAAGTGAGTAACTGTAAGAGATTTGATATTGCTTGCTCTAACCGCAATGTACAGATCATTGTCTCGATTATCTTAGGCAAGCTGTCATGTGCAATGTGGATGTGACCCCTCTCCCTGTTCTCTGGGACGAGAAGGAGGACCGGCCTTTGCCCGATTTTGAGGTGGAGCACACCTGTAGAAACTTTTGGAAAGTAAGAGAGTGGGCTATAGAGCGAAGTGCACATAAGCACAAGTACAAGGATGATGACGTCGCTTGACTTGAGACTAGGGTATCTTGGATAGAGGGGGGCTGTTAGCTGTCAACCCATCCCAGTTTCATCAATCTCAATGGATTCATCGAATTCGACAGCAAGATAATTAAGATACAGCATACTGTTGCCAATATATCGAAATAACTCCAGTTATCATCTCCGTCACCTGTTTGATGTTCGTACTTTGGTATCGCTTGAACGGCTGAGATCACACCATCGGACCCAATATTAATCATACCAACTATCTTGCATTTAGCTCGAGCTTACACCCATAAGCATAGCAACATGAGGCCTTAGCACACACCACAACTCACATTGAGTTTGAATCAAGTTGAAGTAGACTGACCCGTCGGAGTAGACTACGGAGTCCGACCTCCAGAAGGCCAATACAGTCCCCTCAAACTGTGCGAGCTGCGAGACTAATTTTGCGTGATATATGCATAGTGCATCTCTGTTGCCCATTAATAAGCATATCAACCCTGCCCAGGTGTTACATTGATGTCCATCTTGGGGTCGATTTCCGTCTCTGCTCCGCTCCTCGGGGGGCCAAATGGCAGATATGGCGTTGGATCTGCAGGCGCCGCCCAGGGGCCATCCGGGTACAACATCCACCCATAGAAGGTACCCACTACTTTCACATTATACGTGTGTATACAGAGTAGCATACAGGGTATGCCTGCATAGGTAGCTATTATTGGTGGCTTTGTCACGTCAGGGATTTACTCTATGCCAGTTGCAGCCTGGCCCAACATATGGCTGAATATGGGGCAATAAGCGTCATCTATCGCGAACGCTGTCAGAGTAGAGCCGAAAGCCAAGCGATCTTGCCATAGTTGGCTCATAGGGTTTCTCTCCTCTGCCAGTTCCTCTTAGCGCCTGGGGGTACTTGCCTATGCATTTCAGCTCAAGCAAAACATTTCATGGAGTATCCAATGTCAGGGATTCTCAATTACCTATCAGAGTGGTGGAGTGCCACCAAAGGCTCGTGGTGGAGAATACCCACGGACGAGGACGAAGTGGAAGAGAATTTCTTAAAAACTAGCCCAAAACGAAGATACTGCCATCACCCACAGTACATATGGCCATGGATATTATCTACTTTATTTTTTGCGAGTACGACACTGGTTTTATTCATTAGGGATTGGCAGATGAACACACCTCAAACCTCGATAAACGGACCTGGTCGACCAACAGATCTCGGTATGTCCCCATTTTATCAAGTTTTAAGCACGTTGAAGTGATATCTCGAGACGAGACCTCTGACATAAATCTGGCACTGAAAAGAACCAGCTCGAGAATGGATAGCAGAACGCGAAATTCAGTTTGGAGGTGGACTTGTCTATAACAAACAGGGAAAGCTACTTCGCGAGCCCAATCTCAACGGAGAAGAGTGGGTTGGATCTCCAACACCGGAAATGGACGCATTATGGGATCATATTGAGGCAGGTAAGACTACAGATGTAGATCGAATCGCTCAAAAGATCTACGACAGTCGCTTATGTTAAATGCATAAATAGGCTCAATAATCTTGCTTGCGGACTCTGAAGCCGATATGGTGCGGGATAAAACAACGCTTCTTGATGGTTATTGGGTCACTGGGCTAGATGTGATACATCAGGTTCATTGCCTGGTGAGTATTCGAATAATTCGAGTTCTTACTGTGCCTCAAGCTTATTCGTATTGGCGGGGTAGAATAAAGTGCGCAAGGCATTGTACCCTGAGTACTATCACCCTTTACAGTCAAATGAAACCGAGAAGCTACATGTCGGTAAGTGACTTTGCCTTTTGTTGCTGGCTAGATATTTCATTCGCAGTTGTAACTAACTTTGTCTCCTTCAGAACATTGTCTGGATTACGTTCGACAGGCTGTAATGTGCAATGCGGACATATCTCCCGTGACGCATACTTGGTATGAAAGTGCGCGAACGTTCGGTCCTGACTTTCGAACTAAGCATACATGTCGGAACTTTGAAGCTCTACTGCAGTGGTCCTTGGACAGGTCTACTGAAGTTGCAAAGGTCAAAGGCACTGGGCCTGAAACTGCTCAAAACCCCGATGTTGTGGTGCCCGGGACATTGCAGGGCCAAAATCACAAAGATCATGGAGAACATGCTGGACATTGAATAGACCTAATACCAAGCACCAGACATGAATGAGTAAACCTCTAAAAAATGAAAACAAATCGATCTCAAAACACCATGATAATATCGTCTTCTGTGCAATCAGGGGTATCCTAATCCGCATCAGACCCCATTGAAGGCTGGGTTTCATCTATATCTAGGATTTCATGATCCTGGGCAGGTTCCAAATTGAATAATCCAAGTAGACAGAGCCCACACCATGCTGCTAAGCCAAAGTATGAGAGCCCAAACCAAACCCCTCTAAACTTCATACCCAGTGCAAAAAGCCATGCTAATGCGGGCCCTGCAAACAGAGAGCCGATAGTTTCAGAGATCCCGATCATCGTATTCATCTTCGACTTATCGCGTGATGTCATATAGCTCATAGCTATGGATCGACATATGGCGCTCAAGCCAGCCCCTGATGTCTGAAGGATCAAGCCAAATATTACAAGGCCTATATGCGAGGCCCCCGTAAGAAGGGCCCCAAATATCACCAAACAAGCCGAGACGCGTCCAAGCATTAAGTCTTTGACAGCTGGCCGAAGGTATTTTGAAAGCAGCTTTGATAGCACAGGAAACAAGACAAGTAAGACGAGCATCTGAGTGATTCCACGGGCTGTAAGGAGATAGCCAACATCTGCGAAAGTCCAGTCAAATCGCTTGCTCACGTATTGCATGAGCAGTTGTCCATAGGCTAGACCCTCGGGGTTGACCCTGAGATAAGTGACCAGAATCAAAACAATTGGCAATGACCGGAGCCTCTGGATGGATGTTTTAAGACCGGTCCAGGACTGTGAAAAACGTGCATTGAACGTGCTAGGTGAAAGCTCTCCACTTTCTGGGGCATCTCTCTCGGAACAGTCATCTCTGAGTGTGATCACCTCAGGAAGGAAGACCAGCAAGCTCATACTGGCAGGAACCATCAAGGTACCAATGAGAACAGGGAGCCATGGTGAAGACTCTTCCATCAGTTTAGAAGAGATCGCTGGACCAGCTGAAGATCCGGACAAGCTTCCAAATGCCATCACAAAATAAGAAATTGTTCTGGATTTATGAGTGTCAGAGGGTTCAAAACCGCTTGGTATCAGAAAGTAGCATACATATCTGTGTCAGGCACCAGATCTGAAGCCAGGGAATATAGGCCAGCATTGATAACAGTGCTTCCACCACCGATAAAAGTGAATAGAGGGCCCAAGAGGATGTATTCGATCGCCAAAAGATTAGAGAACTTCAGGACAGCCAGAACATAAGCAAGGTACAGCACAGATCCCGTGCTAGATAAATAGATGATCGGTTTGCGACCGAGCCTAGAATGATATTTTAATGGTTTACATTGTTGTCCCTCCAGCAGATAGTTTGCAGAACTCACTTGTCAGCCATGACACCGTATGGGAATGCAGCAATAAGACCTGTTATGACAGATGAGTTCGCTGAGACCTTCCGTCAATGTACTAGTCACTGTGGTTGACATACTGGTCACGGACTCTATCACTCCAAATGAAGCGTTGAGATATGCAAGCTTAGATTGAATCCCGTCGGCCTTGCATATCGCTCTATCGATTGAGTCTTGTCGCCCAATTTCACCCAAATACCGGTCGCACAAGTTGTCTTCCATCAGTTGGGTCAAGGGAACTTGAACGATTGCAGTAGCTCCCGACAAGAAAAATATGCACAGGGATAAGAGAAGAGTCGCGAGGTGAGGTTTTTGCGGGCGCAGTGGCGATCTGGACCTACCCGGTCCCAATAGCGGAGCGGTCTCGTTTTCATGATGCATCGAAGGGGGGTAGCAAGGGGACAAAAAAAAAAGCACTAGCTGGCCGCCAACATTCAGCTGAAGGTAATTACTGGAGAGGAGGTTTACAAAAGATAAGTCCCAAGTTGGGGTTGTAAGCTGTCCCGATCCATGCTAAATAAATGGCCCGCGACAGGGATGCAATCACGGCATCCTAAGGACCTTTGCGCGATCACTGTTCACACCCGGTTTTATTTTACAACTAGAATATGAGGACCTGTGGGATTGTCGCCGAAAATGATAGCTTTTGAGGCTTGAAACGGCTACCTTTCCACCCGTAACTATGCCCTATAACACCACCATTCTACACCCGTCAGCACTTTTAGTCATTCCCCGGTCCTACCTAACGTTAACTGTCGAATACTAAGTCCGAATACATGGTAGAAACCAGGTATTATACCATAAGCATCATGTGACTTCGAGTACCAGGCACACCATATATTACGTTTAATCATCATTACCGCAAAGATTGTTGAAATAGCAGGTTTTGTCATTTTTAGTTAGAGTTGTCAACATTGGTCACCTATACCATACATTGTTCGTACACCAAATTTCTATCAGTTATAAGCCCGGAATCGTTCCATTGGAAGATTTATTTGAGAGATCGACCTCGCTGTCGTCGAATTTGAGGCTAAAGTGACACTGCATCGTCAACAGCCCCTCGCCGAAGCAACCCCTAAATCAAGAGTCGGAAATCTGTCCACAAAGGACAACGAACAACCCATATACCAATATGGCCGAATACCTCTCCGCGGGTATATCCTCTCGCATTATACTAAAGGATATAACGACATAGGATGCATAGTTAGCTAATATCGAATCAATTGCTGTGCAATTTGACGTATAGGAGCTATATAATCCTAGCAATAATAAGAAACCGGAGCCTCCCGTAGCACCAAAGAAGGTTATCTCAATTGAAGAAGCACAAACTCAGTATAAAGACAAATATGCCGATATACTAAAGATGCTTTAAATAGAATAGGCTCACGACGACGTGGCTTATACCTAACAGAAGAAGGGGTTGAACTTAGTTAGAATTCTGCAAAGCTCGCAGCGGGCTTCGGGCTGTTGGTTTGGGCCTAAAGCTCGAAAGGTTGGGGGGGGGCGACAAGCCCCCCCTTTCGACTAAATAGTATAAACTTCCTAATTTCTCGTAACTATATAAATGATAACTAACTGTAGAAATTACCAGTCATTTTAAGTATTTCCGTTATAGCGTTTACTTTAAATCAAATAAATATCAATTTCAATCTAGTATATATATTATCTTTTATATACTTCCTTTTCCTCCCTAATATATATAGCTAGGTACTATAACCAAGTAATAGAGGACCGTTAGTATTATAATTATTACTAGTATCCCTATTATCCTTATTATAAATATCAATTAAATCCCTAGGGACAGCACCCGAGATCTTGCTCCCGGGCTCATAACCTGTTGTAGTTCAGAGGTATGAATTGTTGTATTTTATTCAAAGGGAAACCTGAAGCTATATATACAACGAGAAGATCAAGTTGATTGGATATCAACTTGGTTCTTCGTACAGACACCTCGGGATTCATTCCGATGGTTCGGCTTGGTTCCTGATCTGCACCAGCCTCAGATCACAACAAATGGAAGCTTCAATAATACTGGTCACTATGCGTCGAAATTTGAGTAAAAACAATCGACAAAGCTTGTTAGCTCGTCAAGTTATTTTTAACGTAGCTCACCAGCCATCCACACAGGTGTTGTGCCTAAGAAATTCAAGAGTCGATCATGCAGTCGGCAAGTTTAAATTCGTCGCTACATAAGATGTTTCTCATTAACAGACCATTTCAGCAGCATGACATTATTTTACTTACATTGTTCACGTTCATGATTCCGAAAAGAGAAGATAGGGAAAGAGATATAGACCCTATAGTTAATATAAATATAGTACTCGGTTGTTAAAAAACGAGAAAAATACTAGTATGGAAGGATCACCTTGATCCCACATGGACAAAATTGTTACTAGGGGCGGTACAATCGCCCTCCCCTTATATGCTGACAGATTGAATCAGTCTGATTTGAGGCCTGAATTTTTAATAATACACCAGCGACCTGATATCTTCAACTTCGACTTGGTTGTTCGTAACAGTGCTTCTGGATGCCGAACCCGCTCGCATTCTTGGCTCCTCTCAACGCATAGGGGCTGCTCAGCTTATTTCACGACAGATTTCCCTAACTGATAGAAGACTATTTAGAAAATACCAATTACACCATTTCCACCTAGAGCTGGAAAGCCCAATTGCCGATAGAAAGCAGCCCGGAATGCTGGATCTCGTGGCAAATCAGATGTAGCGCATACACCCTGCTCAACAAGTTCCATCTTACGCAGCCTAGCTTGAAGCACCGCACACGTATCAGCCCAGGCACAAATATTGCCCGCAAGACCTTCGAACAAACTGTAGGGCTCATCAGGCATGCGATAATCATTGTCGGAAGATGTGGGCGAGGTGTTGTATGGCTTAGTTTGACGTGCATGCAACATGAACGCAAGTGCCCTCGAGAGGAAGAAGTCACTAGTGAGTTCCTGGCTCACTTCGGCATTTGGAAGTGCTGATAGTTGGTTATCCTGGAGGTAAAGTACCCGGGCCTCGTTCAGAGTCTCTGAGTGGTATTCAAAACAATCATGGAGGAGGAGCCACGCCCATGCATTGCCAGCCACGCCGTGACACAAACTGCCTCCCTTAGAAAGCAGACCTTCTTCCCATACACGCTCAGTGCCCAAGTAGACGGCTTGGTCCCAACTTGGATCCCAGTGGGCACGGGTTAAGGATTTGTTTTTCAAGGCAGCACCTAGGAGAATCAACAGTCCTGGGCTCCCGTGGCACAGCTGGACCAGTTCCGAGGAGCGGTGCTTGGAACCATGTGGAGGTAGTGTCATCGGGAGATGGCCATTGGTAGCTCCGGATAGCTTGCAGAGCGCAGTGATAGTACCACCAATCACAGGAAGATAGTTTGTAAGCTCTTCGGGCTTACATGAGAGTAGGATGGTTAGAATACCGGCTAAATCACATATTAGCATTAGCTTAATTAATCGCCTGCCAACTTACTTATTCCATGAACCCTATACATTGTCTGTTAGCGATCACATACGATACAAGATGGCTGGAAGTGCACTTACGCCCCAAAACAGTAATGGCCCTCGATCCATGCATACATCAATGGATGTGCGTCTTGGGCTCCATTCTTCTCAGTGTATTCCTTGGATCCTTGTCGCCCGGCATCGACAATCACTCGGATCAACTCGGGAATTGCCCCCAGCACAGGTGAGAGAAATCCCCGGGTCTCTTGATCAAAATTATGAGCACGAACGTTCAAAAGGGTCCAAAGTAGTCCTGCTCGGCCAAACAGCATCTCATCTCCACCCATTTTTCTGCCATCATGGGTAACAAGAGGCTCATTACTTAGTGCGCACTGCATGGCCTCATGAAGGCAAGTGATATCCTCCCTTGCGATGCTGACATTGGCACCACCTTGCCAATCATTCTTTGAAAAAGTAGCTAAAATGCGCAAAGTGATAGCAGTTATAGGCGAAGATGAGCCAACTGGAGACAGTCGGGAGGCTAACAAGGGGGCGTCTGGGAGGCTTGATGGGATCCGTTGTAGTGCGTAACAACGATAGTCAAGAGAATCAGCTTTGTGATCTTTTAACACCGAGGACTGATAATCCAGGCGGAGGAATGCTAGAGCGATGCCTTTATTGGGTGATTAGATGACCAGGGTTTGGAGAGGTGGGGGTGGAGCTTGAAATACCGGGGAAAGCTCTAAACATGCCATTTGAGCCCCATGTCTCAGGTAAGGAAGTGTTCTCTTGTATCAACTTGGCACCATTGCGAACTGCCACACGAAGCTCTTGGAGGCTCTCGGAAAGAGTGGTCGCATTGATCGATAGCGGGGTCAAAGTGGTCTCGAAGTATTGCGGACGCTCTGCCATGGTTGGAGGCTTTGTTCAGTTATAGGCTGTCTAGGTGTTTTTAAAGATATGGCGTGATATGCGGAAAGGAATTTCAATGTCTGAAAACTTTTGCTGTGACCGTTTTGATCGGGGCTATCGCGTCCTACACCTGACCGACAATGTACGGCTCAGCTGGCCACCCAAACAAAATCCAGCATCTTCCCCACCAGCAAGGCTACAAAACCAAATATCATCCAAATCCCTCGTACATAAGAACTGGTGCCATCCAGTAGAACTGCAGAATCCATAAAGCAAACCCAAAAGGGGTGTTCTGTTCAACCACCCACTTGGCAGTCTCGATGACGATCACAAGTCCAAGCCACAAAAGAGACACCTTCCATCTCTCCCTAGACCGCCTCAATACGGCAAACATTGCCCATGTCGCACAGCCAGTCAGAGAAAGAAAAATGACATCCAACACTGGGAGCCTCAGGGAAAAGGCGAGAGAGATAAAGTGGGAACATATCCCAAAGATGTATCCGACGGCCCGAATAAACAAGTAGCCAGTAAGAAGAAATATGAGAGCCAGATAAAGAATAAAAATAGTTGTACGATTTTTATATCTTGATCCGTCGTTTAGTTCGTTCTCGAGACAGGCGATCTCAATCAAAGTCCGAAAAAGTTTCCAGAGTTGTGAACGCCGGAAGTAGACGCCTACCAGATTTATCAAAGCCCCTATTCTCGCAGAAGGATCAGATGATAGTGTACCTATGCCCAGAGAAATTTGACATAACTTTTCTGCCTTGGTGAGAAGTAGTCTTTCAGGATAGAGAATCCCTATGTTGTCAAGATGGTTCGCATATTGTAATGCGATAAAACGTTGCAGGGAGTCATTGCGCCAATATGGAACCCTTGGTTTTCGGAAATTGATGTTGTTGGAATCAGCACTCCCATAAGCCGAACTCACCCATTCGCTCGCGTATAAGTAGTAAGACGAAAGGAGGAGGATGGCGAGTTGGTAGAACAGGGTATCATCTTCGCTTGGTTCCATGAATCCTTTGGAAATAAGGCACAGACAGCGATCGGCATGTGGGAGAAAACGAAAACAATCGGCGTGGCCTTTGCAGGCCCTTGCTGAGGAATATGCGGCCATATGTCCTAGAAAATCAAGAGAATCTGGCAGCTCTTTAACCGCGCTAAATTGAGATTCTTTGTCACAAAGGACAGAGGTCATCCAAGAATGCACGTATTTATGCATAGAATACCCTCTCGAATTTTGGGCATGTTTACTCAGGTCTGGACCAATCTCAACGAACCCATACCTGCAAAGAGTGCGCATCCCTTCATTGAACGAATGCACATCCTCAAGTCCGGTGACGCCGGTGGAGTCTCCAAATTCAGAGACAGGCAGAAGGAGCTCTCGCCAAAGATCTTGATGGTCAAAAAATACCCAAGAGATGGCAAGTTCAAATGCCTCCTCGTTTTCTTGACGAATTTGAGTCAGAGCAATCTCCCATGTAATAAAAGCCGGTCTTTTTGGTGCCCCAATGAAGGTTTGACTCTGTTGCCATTTTTCTCGGTACAACTTGAGGTAGTCGCTATAACTGATTGAGCTTTCGTTAGACGAAAGGTACCTCCCTGCACTATCAAGTGCACAGGGCATTCCGCCCAACTCATCAGCCAATTTATAGGCTTCGGGGTCTGTTAAAACCAGTTAGATCATGTGAAAAAGTTTTTATTGATGTAATGAACACACCTTCCATCGCGGTGGGTCTCTGGGATATCAGAGAGAGAATTTTAACACATTGGTGGACGTCAGTGAGCCTTTGTACGCGTATTGACTGCCCTGTCAGCTCCACGTCGGGATTATTAGTTGTAACAATAATATCCCCTTGTAGAACTTGAGGTAGAAAGGCCTGGAGATCAAAAGTCCTAGGTTGTAGGCCAAATGCATCCTCTTGTATGTTGTAGCCATCATATACTAATAGCCATCGATCATTCATATTCAAGCTCAGCCAGCGCTTGACTGCGTCTACGGCTGCGGCCGCGTTTCCTTCTTCAACTATTTCTTGCAAATGATTGAATGAATGGTGGTTATCACAAAGGCGAGATGCTATTCCAAGGAAGCTCGACATCAGTCTTCTCTCACTGGATGCATCTAACCAGAATATTGCCCCATATTCATCCTCGGGTGTCACAGTCGTACGATCTACGGCCCTGGACTTCCTAGAATGTTTTATAGCATACGCTAGAGCAATTTGCGATTTGCCAATCCCGGAAATACCCTGTAATATCACAATCCGATTGACGGCATGGAGGTGCTTTCGGATCTCTGCAAGCTCCCAATCTCTGCCAACAAAATGATGGAACGGAGGGAATTTTGTATGGTCAAATAGCACGTCAAAGGCATTTATCTCTGATTGAAGCTTGTTAGGAAAAGGATATCAGCAACACCTGTGCCCTGGCTGACATGCACTCACCCCGCTTATGCAAGTCATGGCTCTCCATTGGCATTTCGTGTGTGTACATGTAGTTGATTGTGCCATGGTTGACACCAACTTGGGCTCCATTATTTGGACCAGAAAAGTGATTTGAATATGCCATAATATTTCAGGTAGCACAGCGAGACATATGTTGTGCAGCGTACCAGGAGACTCAGGTTAAGGGATCAGGTGATGTCTCGTGCGCTATTGCGTGATGAAAAATGACCTATCAGATATCTAGAAAACCTGCTGTAGACTGCGCTATTTTCTTTTCTTTTTTTCTTTCAGTTATACTAATTCTTCACAATAGACTAGACAGGCACCGTGCATATAGTGCCGCGAGCTGCAAAAGATCTGCGTGACCCATATCGGCATGGGTATATCTGTATATCTGTATAGTTTTTTCAACACTATGGGAAATGGCTCGAGTAAAGGTCACAAGGTTGATCCTGTTGATTTCATGGACACTGTGAGTGAACGACACATAGTTATACACTTCAATGTTAGTTAACTACATACTCAATGGCGCCTTAGCCCTCACCTTTAGGTTTCTGCCGCGTGGCCAGAATCAACATTCCTTGGTATACTTGAGGTATAATCTAGGTAGTTGATTTTGTTGGCCGTCCACCACGCTCTTAATCATTCCCTTCATAGTAGTCAGGAGCCTTAGTTATTAGGATAGTTAACGTATTCCACATGCGAGCCGCCCACCTCAAAACACCATAGTAAATGCGATATATTCTATGCTTGTATCTCACCAACCGCATTTCGGTTTTATTTGATTGTCTGGCGATAGTTCTTGATAAGGTGTTTAAATGCTATATATTAATTTTAAGAACATCAAATAGCTACAATATCACGGTATTGAAAATTACACTGTTAAAAACCAAAAAGATATATATCTCAGTCGCCAAATCATTAAAATTCTCAAAACTCCCTAAACAGACTTGATATCATATAAAAATCAGTAGGCCAAATGGAAAGGTTCCTACAGACAACTGTTGTTGAGATATCAAGTTGTAATTTATCGCATTTACTATGGGGTTTTGAGGTGGGCGGCTCGCATGTGAAATAACGGTGCTTATGTGAAAGCCTGAGAAACCAGGCATTAATACCAAGAAATTAGCTTATCTAATTATATATGATGAGTCAGCAAGTGACCACGACTTCTCGACTTGCGTTGCGGCCATTCCGGACTCGAGAATACTCACGCGGTCCTCGAAGTGCGATTGAGGGCTCCCTTCTAGAAGCAGTCCAGAATGTCAGTGAACAGACCCCCTGTTGAATCCCGTTCCTCGTAGCCATTGTTTTCTTGTTATTTTTGTATTCACCTGAGGTTTTGTGATGCAAATATACTCTGGAATAGAATGTATCCCACTAACATGTCAAACAGTCGTGTGATTGGCAACCTCCAGAGGGCCACCTTACCATGTCTGAAGTTCATGGAGATTCAGAGCTCGTTCCAGCGGGCCCTGATCTAGATTATCCGCTTGCTCTGGCTCCGCGACAAGTAACTTTGCGAGATCGGGTTACGGTTGCGACCCTGGTCCCTTTTGCTTCAGCAGAGGAAGTACCCCGGGCTCTGATGAAGTATCTCTCTGATCAGTTCAACAAGGAGATCGAAAAGGGAGATACATATGCTATGACAGAGCCCATCCCACTGGCTCAGTTCGGACGATATTGGTTTTCGACCTTTGGCGTGGTTATGCTTACTGGCGACATCGAAAGTGCAGAGCAGACACATACGATGGACCGTGCTGGAGCCAATTGGACCAAGATCTGTCTAGGTGGCTTTCACATTCGGCCCAATTACCCTGGCCGTAGTAGTCATGTCTGTAATGGCACTTTCATTGTGACTGATGCTGCTCGAAACAAGGGCGTTGGTAGATTGATGGGCGAATCCTATCTGGAGTGGGCACCTCGACTAGTGAGTTCTTCACCACGATCACTTTAAACGGGCTGTGAATTAATGTTTGCTAGGGATATACATATGCAGTCTTCAACTTGGTATATGAGTCCAACGTTGCATCATGTCGCCTGTGGGATTCCCTTGGCTTCAAACGGATTGGCCGAGTCCCCGGTGGAGGCAGTATCAAATCCCAACCTGGAGAGTTTGTCGATGCAATCATCTACGGCAGAGGCCTCAGTTTGGATGGCGAGGACTCTGTATCCCAGGATCGCTTTGAAAAAATCCGTTATTATTTGAAGCACGGGAAGTACCCTCGTGGTGCTGATCGGGCCGAAAAGAGTCGACTTCGCAGTGCGGCGACTCATTATAAACTTCTTGGCGGGGGGGATGGAGAGCCCGAGAGGCTGATGTTGAAGGATAAAGAGGTGGTGTCAGACCCGCAGCAGCAGTACGATATTGCCCAACAAGTTCATCTCCAGCAGCATGCTGGAATCAACAAAACTACGGCAGCTATTGCGATCAAATACCATTGGGTACGAATCAAAGAAACTGTCAATCGCGTGATTCGAGACTGTCCACAATGCAAAGAAACTCTCAAGGCGCCTCCCATACCAGGGAGCAAAGATGATGATAAATCGCCCTCGGAAACAATGTCTGGTATGGATATGGATAGCACAATGGAACAACCCCCGAAGGAACCGGACAATGTCCCGCAGGCGATGGATGAAGCACCCGATGAATCTCCCAATTACAACCCTCTTATGCACCAACCCATTTCTGCAGCCATGCCCGGTACAGTCCACCCCATGGCTGGGTTCGCACCCATGCCTCTCGATCCTCAGATTATGCAACTACACCAACAGCTACGACGCTACCAACAGCAGAACCCTATGGCGAGCCAGTTCGCCCCGGGGTCGCACAATCTCGGCATGTCAAGCTTTGACGATGCAATGCGCTACCACACAGCCAGCAATGCATATCAAATGATGGTAGATGATGGCTCGGATCCCTTTCGACAAGACGTGCTTGGACTTGTGAACCCACCCCCACACGAATTACAGCATGATGCTGAATTACTTGCTAAGTTTGAGTATGGAAGTCCCTCGGATGGGAATTATGACTTTACGTGAACAAGCCTTAACTTTTCATCTCTCGGTTTCTCATCTCGGGGGCGTTACTTCATTTCGGGATTATTTCGTCTTAACCCTACTTTTCTTTGTTTTCTTTCTATTGTTCTGTTGGCGTCGAGGCATCGGGCTAAGATACCACTGATACTCCACCACTATTGTGCCGTGGACAGTGAAACGACGGTTTATGCTACATACACTACGCTTTTTTTTAGGTATATTATTCGAATGAGACATCTCAATATATATCATAGAAAGTCTATATTCAATGTAAAATGTAGTACATCTCTTTAAATGCGTAGGGTTGAAGAGCCCTGATTGGTCACCGCCTTGCGCGACTGGGGGGTTTTTGGGGAACAGGAGCTCTGGGAAATTTTGGCAGATCAACCCCTCCGACATTTCAACTCAACATACCCCTTTTCTTATTTCTTTTACTTTTTTATTGAACGGTTTCGTGTCCGAATACCGATCTAATCATGGCCTTCAACGGCCAAACCCCCACGATTGTCGTGTTGAAAGAGGGTATGTGTTGTCTCCAGTGCGGGCAGTTTTGTTGGTGGGATTCTGTGACATATGCTAACTAATGCTGCTTTACAATCTACAGGCACCGACGCTTCTCAGGGAAAGGGACAGATTATCTCCAACATCGACGCCTGTGTCGCAGTGCAAGGAACAGTCAAGAGCACTCTCGGTCCTTACGGTGGTGATCTCCTGCTTGTGGATGCCAATGGCAGACAGACCATTACAAACGATGGAGCCACAGTGATGAAGGTGCGTCTTATTATTGATGCAAATATATGGCCGAAACGAGATGGTGATTCTGACTTTCGTTCATTTGGCAGCTTTTGGATATTGTGCACCCCGCCGCCCGCATTCTCACGGATATCGCTCGGTCCCAAGATGCCGAAGTCGGCGACGGAACAACCTCCGTGGTTGTCCTGGCTGGTGAGATTCTGAAGGAGGTCCGAGACCTCGTTGAGCAGGGTGTCAGCTCGCAGACCATCATTAAGGGTCTGCGGAGGGCGAGCGCCATGGCAGTCAACAAGGTTAAGGAGATTGCAGTGGACATGATGGATGCTTCAGACAGCCAGGAGAAGAAGGTTGAGACACTAAGACGGTTAGCCGCAACAGCCATGAACAGCAAGCTTATCAAGCGCAATTCGGACTTCTTCACAAAGAGTGAGGATCCCCTACTTAGTGGTTCCAAATTTGCCCCAAAGCTGACGATATGGTATCCTAGTGGTTGTGGATGCGGTACTTTCACTGGACCAGAATGACCTCAACGAGAGGTTGATTGGTGTCAAGAAGGTTACTGGTGGTGGTCTCCAGGATTCGCTTTTCGTCGACGGTGTCGCCTTCAAGAAGACTTTCTCCTACGCCGGTTTCGAGCAGCAGCCCAAACACTTCGAGAACCCTGGTATCGTGTGCTTGAATGTCGAGCTGGAACTTAAGAGTGAGAAGGACAATGCGGAAGTCCGTGTCGAGCAGGTCTCGGAATACCAGGCCATCGTCGATGCTGAGTGGCAGATCATTTTCAACAAGCTTGAGGCTATCTACAAGACAGGAGCGAAGGTCGTGCTTAGCAAGCTGCCTATTGGCGATCTTGCCACACAGTACGTTCTTGCTCTTTGCTATGGGGTATCTGTCTAGACACTAATGATTTGATTTGCAGGTACTTCGCGGACCGAGACATCTTCTGTGCTGGCCGCGTCTCCTCCGACGATATGGACCGTGTTTGTCAGGCTACCGGAGCCGCAACCCAATCGACTTGCACTGATATTCAGGACCGCCACCTGGGCACCTGTGGTGCGTTCGAGGAGCGCCAGATTGGTGGAGAGCGTTTCAACCTGTTCTCCGACTGCCCTCGCGCTAAGACTTGCACTCTTGTGCTGCGTGGTGGCGCTGAGCAATTCATTGCTGAGGTGGAGCGTAGTCTGCACGATGCTATCATGATTGTTAAGCGTGCTCTGCGCAACACAACCATCGTTGCTGGCG